GGTGTTGCATTATAGGGCCGTATGGGCCACTTATGCCGCACAGAGTGGGAATATGCTCCCAAAATTCCAGCCTCCCAGCTTTCCTGGTTGTTGAGTTGAAAGTAGGTGACAAAGTTCACTCGCTTCTGAACACACACATGCACAGACGACTTCTCGACAATACGCGTTTTTGCTCGCTGTAGCAGCACTGTAGCGCTGCACAGCAAAAACGCATTAAAAGAGGGTTTTACTATGAGAAGGAAGCAAAACGCACTATCGAACGCCCGCACCATGTTAAAGATTGGGTAGGCACTAGGTACGACATAGAAAAGCCTGCACTGTGATGAGAACAAGTTGGAGCATCGATGATAAAATGATAGCCGCCTACTATACTTAAGAAACTAGTGCCGTTTCACTCCACTCCCTCTATTTAACTAAAATTAGGTGTGTCTTCTCTCATGAATGTCGTTCATCATAGCAAGTGAGGAGGGCGAACAGACAGCAAAAAATTTTAAGGATCACACAAATGGCGATGAAAACGCGATATATTCAATAATTCCTTCAAAAGAAGAAAGCAGGGTAAAAAAAATCAGGAACCAGAGTGGGCTAATCAACACAAGACGTAAAATTCGGTTAAATCAACTATGAAAACTGACGAAGGGGCTTCAATTTTTTATGCTTTTTCAAGTTTTTTTTTCAAGTCGCGTTACCTGTACTGCTCGACAACACTGGCAGTATCACTGGCAGGTGAGATGCTCTGTGCGGCGTTATTCATGTCCTCGTAACATCGCTGAATTATGTTCATCACTCGGGTTTCGGCCTCGATACTTTTCAGCATAAGCGACTTCGTTTCGCAGATTCGCTCCTCGTCCACCGCTCTCAAACGCTGTAACCGATAAAACGATATGCATCACAACTCATAAAATTCAAAACAATTTAAAGTCAAAGAAAATTTTTGAAACAAATTTCATTAATTAAGAATTATACAAATTTTTAAGCGTTTTTTAAAACCCGGACACGAATTAAGCATTTTTTTTAAACCCAGACATTTTTCAAACGATTTTTAAGACCAATAACAATGAACTGCCCATATTTAAAAGCTACACATGCGGAGGAGAGTATAAGTGAGAGTACCACTACGCAACTGTGCGAGAGGCTTCCTTCTCAGCGATGGAAATGAATGGGAAACCCGACCATTCAGTAACGCGGTTTCGATCGGGGCAAACATTAAGTTCTGAGCTATCGTTACTGATGCAAAAAACGAACTGCGATGAAAAGATCCGTGCTTAAAAAATCATCAAAAAAATTCATCGACGTAAAAACAAAAAAAAAAATGACTCAATCATCGACGCAAAAATAAAGAATGATAAAACTGTTTGGGGAATTTTTATTCTTTTCATATGCTTGCTTCAACAGACCCGTGGAAGAATGGACGGCACGTAATGTTTCTTGTATGCAATCGCCCCAGGAGCGCCACAATCAAATAAGATAGCTTATAATAAGCATCTGTGAAGCGCCACGACAAAAAGGCAGCAAGTCAACAAAATGTGTCCAAAAAACCGGGAAACTATGTAAATTACTCGCTTCTGTTTGTTTTTCATTAAATTTTTAATCTCTTTCGTCGGTTTAAAGTTACAAGAAGAGAAATGAACTATAAAACTCTAAATACTTCTCAACTAGCTCTGATTTTACTTACGTACCAAATATTACGCCAAGTTTTATTCCAAAAATCACCTAATTCCTATCTGCTCAATCTCGCACACTGAAAAAACTAGCACTGTTCATCAGTACACTGAAAAAGGAGGCGGGTGCCATGGCTGTTCTAAGGGGGACACCTGCACAAAACACTACGGCTCCCCTCTCCCAGAACAATCGCAGAAGGTGCCCCCCCCCCTACTTTTAACATCTGCATATC